TTAAACCAACCCCCCCCCGCCTCCCGCCTCCCCCGCCGCCAACTACAGCACCCCATGCGGAGCGGAGCTGCAGGAAGGAATTTCCCCCATTGCATTTTATCAGCACAAGGCAAAGACGTTATACTTCAAGTAGCAGAGTGGCGCAGCGGAAGCGTGCTGGGCCCATAACCCAGAGGTCGATGGATCGAAACCATCCTCTGCTAACTTCTTTTCATGCCTTCTTTCGTAATTCCCCTCTTCACCTGGTTTGGATTTGCTTTGTGCCCTCAACACCCCCCCCCACCAAGTACAAACGCCCGTCCCCGGCCGAGTTGATTCAATTTCTCTCGCTTTCAAAATCCGTTAATCTTTTGCACGCTCCTGCAACGCGTGGGTGGCTGCCCCGAGGTCGATCAGATTGGAAGGGGCCTCTGAAAGAAGCCAGCCCAACCTCTGCTCACGGCGGGGGGGGGGGGGGGGGCGGAGAGGATTCCTCAGGACACCAAGCTTGAAGAAACTGCAAAAGCAGAGGGATAAATGTAAAATTTCCACTTGCTAGAGCGACTGTAATTAGACTAAAGTAGATCCTTGCTGTTTTGAGAAGGCAGGAAAGCGCCAAGCTAAAAAGGCTCCTAAATAACGCTGCTTAGACAAATGTGACTTGCTGTTTGGGGGGGATAGGAAAGCTCTAAGATACAGAGACTCCTAAATAATGTTTTTTGGACAGCTCGGTCTTGGGAGGGCAGACACACCAAGCTACAGAGACAAAGAGGCACCAAGAGGGCAACAAGACCAGAGCAAAACAACCTGGAAGGACACGGTATGCGTGATCTTAGAACTGAGTTTGCACAGAAACAAAGGTCAGCCAGCGGACACTGTGATGACGAGTATAAGCCTTCATCTTGAGACCCCCAAAGACCACCCGAGGATGCTGACAGGCATGAAAAACATTAACATATGCTAATTAGTTCTTGGAAAAGTCATGAATATACCAAGCATTTCCTGGAAATATAATGAAGGTGTATATTGTGATTGTATTTAACCTGAAATGACAGGGTGTTTGGGGCGCACGTTTGGAGGAGAGATCCCCCGTGTGCCGGGCACCATAATAAAGAATCCCTGCTTAATAGTCTGCTGACTAATGAGTCATCAATTCCTGCT